GACAAGCATAACTGAATTGCAGTCTATCAATTTGACTAATTTTTTTATTGTTTTTGAAAAAAGTCTTCTTTTTTCTTTGCAAAACTTATATTAATTTTAAAATAGAAAAGACTTATATTAATCAAGAACAGTAAAAAATAATTAATCAAGAACAAAGCATTAGAGCAAAATTTACCCGAATACATTTAAAATAGAATATTAAAACAAAATTTTTCAGAATTAAAATGTTCCACTTTGAGTTGATCAGAAATGATCATTTTAGTGGAATTTTTCGTCTTCTTTTTTTTTTGCTTTCATGAAAAGGTGCTTTGAGACAATTTTTTTCTTATAAGCAAAAGTTTTTGCTTTTTTTTTAATTTTCTCTTTTTCTCATTAAAAAAAAAAAAAACTTTCATACTTTTCGAAACATTTTAGATTTTCTAAAAATAAAAGATAGTCTTAGATGAACAATTATTACGGTCTCCTGTTTTGATTCCCTTATTTCATTCTCGTATCTTCATTGAATTCCGAAATAAAAACCTGAAAGGTTTTTTTCTTTCGGTAAATATAGAGGAAAGGAAAAGGAGAGCTTTTTTGTTCACAAAAATAAAAAAATTGATTTATGTTGTTAATTGTTTATTGATATTTACATATTTGCATCAATTGATGTGATTCAGTGAACAATGAAATGATAAATGATTATGCATGTTATCTCCAATGCATTTAACAAATTATTATTCATTTAACAAAATTCAAAAATTTGTTTCGGAAAAATTTTTTTTTGAATTCAATTTTTTTTTGAAATTCATGTGGAATTTTTTTTTTTTTGAAATTCAATGTATTTGTTTTTAAATCATTATTTCGTTTAACAAAATTCAAAAAAAAAATTTTGTTTCGGAAATTTTTAAAATTCAATGTGGAAAGAAAAGTGAGCGACGATAATGATGATAAATTATTCATGATTATTTATCATTTAAAAATTCAGCATGTTTCATCCAAAAAAAGGTCAATCTAAATTTCACTCATTTAATTACTCCATCCATATATGCATTTTCGATCTTAGCATGTCGTTTTTTTTTTTTTTTAGCTTAAATCAATTTTAACCTCAATTTCATTTATTTTTGTTATTTATATTTTGATCAAAAGGTATATCAAAATTCTCAAATAGATATCTCCCACATGAATCTCTCAATGTATTCATAGCATTTTGTGTAACAAAATTTTTTAATCAATGAAAGACAAATTTAATCAACTCGAGAATTACACGTACGATTCGAGAACTATATATCAATGACTATTCCTCTTTTTTTTCTCCTTTTTCTACTATTATATCATTCATTCATTGTCATGAGCTGGAATATTGTTTAACACTTCTAAATATTCCATTAACGTTAATGCAGATTAAGCATAAAGTGAAAAAGGAAAAAAAAGAAATTAGCTTCACTGTATCTTCAAATAAAAAAAAGACAGTTATTTAACTTATATGGAATATGATAAATATTTAATATTATTTTGATAGATGTTGAATTCATTTTGGCTCGAAATTATATTAAAAATGATAAATAACTTATGTGTAAGTACGCATAACGTATACGATATTCTGGCAAACATATTATTATTTAATATTACAGTTTGAGTGTTTTAAAAAATTTTTTTTGATAAATTCTTCAACGATCATCCAAAGTTGATCAGTGCCTATATTGTTTCATTTCATTAAAAAAAAAAAGACGGAAATGTAGAATGATAATATTTTTAACATTGTTGTGACGATTATCACTTCTTCTAAAGTTGAAACTTTTAACAAGGCGGCAAAACAAAAAGTTAAAGTTAAATAGTTGAAATGTATTTGAAAGTCTACTAATAATGGGTGTGTAAAATTAGCCAATTTTAATTGCTTAAAATTCCTTAAAATATATCGAAGATACCATATACAGGTTGTATAAATTCTGATTATCATCAGTGGTAACATTTGAATGTTTAACATAACAATCTTTGATAAGCATAATTTTTTTAGCATAATAAATTTCAATTGTTCGATGTTTGATGTATGAATTTTCATTAGATAAAATTACATTTTGCTACAATCTTATAATTCATTATTGTGACTTATTTTTAGCAAGCACTATTTTTTATTGAAGCTTCTAATTTCCAATCTAAAATTTACTCGCCTGATTCATCTAACTTTTTTATTATATATGCTAAAAATGCTAAATTTTACATTAAATTTTATTATTTTCTTTCGATTAACTAAGATGACTTAAATTACAATACAAATAATAGTTATTATTGCTTTCAAAGAAAAAAAAATCTAAAATATAGATTTCAAAAAATACAACGGTAAATAGTCATTTTGATTATACAAATATTTTATATTATAAGATTAATTCAGTTTTTTTGATGGTTTTATCTCTTCATTTTTATTGATATGATTTATTTTTTTTTTTTAAATTACCCTTATCAATGTATTGAAATAATATGCAAATTTTTGATCTGCTTAAAAATTTTCCATAGAATTGAGTAGTTATAAAAGAATCTGATGAATTGATGTTGATTCATTCGATATTATAACAATTCTTTCGATCATTGGATATCAGTTGGGCAGAAGGAATGGACGAAGGGAATGATGGAGGAAAATTACACTCTCGAAAGCATAGGAGAGTATGTTTGAGTAGTATGCTTCACTACGTTTTGACAATAATATGCATTGACATTTTAGAGTAATAGTCAATACTAACCTGAAATTTAAATAAATAAATGAAGCATGAAATATTGAAAATGAAAAATTATCCTAAAACAATTAATGCAATTCAAAGGTATTTATTTAATCGTTAAATGATAAATTCTTGGAATTGAAATTTTAAATTTATAATCAGTAGAAGTATAAATAATTTAAATGCATTACTAGTGAGATGAAAAAATTTCCATTTAGCTAATGCAAAATACATTATTAGTTGTATTTCGTGAACAAAGCCCTCTAATAAGCAAAAAAAAAAAATTGCCAATGAAAAAATATTGGCAAATACAAAACTTAAAATTTCTAACATTTTTATTGTTATCTCATGCAATATTGTTTGTCAAAAAAAAAAAAAATGATAGAAAAGTAGAAATTACAAATACTTTTAGTATCTCTGAACAATAACTGAGAGTTTTATTCCAATTACTTTTATTCCAATTACTTGAAGTAAAAATTATTGTTAAATAATTCTAAGAATTATTTCAACTACTTTAAATAAAAATTATAATTAAATGCTTGGAGTATTTCTAAATAATAGCTGAGAATTTCATTCCAATTTTCTCCTATTTCATTCAGGAAAAAAATAGGCGCAGTACGCGAAGGCATCATCGTTATCAAAGATTTGAAGATACCGAAGGTAAAGATGATGTTTCCTGTTGTGGTCGTCCCAGACAGGTATAAAATGCTTATCTGAAAATTGTTTAACAAAAAAAAAAAATTCAATTTTACTAATAATTATGCGGAATTTGCATGAAATTTCAAGCTTTTGTTTATTGTATTTTAAAAAAAAAAAATTCGATGGAATTTTTTATCATCGATTTATCAAATTTATTATTCCGATTGCACTAAAAGATTAGATTATTTTTTTTTTGTTCGTTTTGATTTTAATATAGCTTTAGCATAAATAATCAAATCTTATACGGTCATTATTTAGTTTTTTCTTTTTTTTTTGAAAAAAAAAATTAAATTTGAGTTTTTGCAGAAAAGCGATTCACGTCGTCGAAAGCATTATCGGCATCGTAGAAGGCATAAATCAAAACGCCATCATAAAAGTCAAAAAGATATTGGTGGAATAAAAGAGGAAATGCCATCACCATTACGTCCACCAACACCGCCACTATCACAACAACCGGTTACGAATTCGGTTGCTGTATCAAAAGAGAAACAGAAAGAGGAAAAAGAATCCGGTGAACTGGCAAGTACAAATCAGGGTAAACAATCAACATCAGGTGAAATTACTGGACAAGGAAAGGTCAATATGCTTCCTTATCAATTTCCATTTCTAATGCTAAATAAAAATTTTATTTCTTATTTATAAATTAATCAAACATTTTTTTTTCATCTCATTCTTTCTTCCTCAAATTTCAGTTAAGTAGTCAATTGGGTACGTCACGTTCACCTCCAGCATTACCCTCACGTGATAGCCAAAATATTAATGGACGTGAAAGTGGCAAGCAAATAATGGCAATGTATAAGACAGAATTATTGCAAGAATTATGCGTTACTCAATGTATTCGTGATGGATATGAAATATGTCGAATGGCATATACCACGTGTTTTCCGGTTTCAAAAAAACCAAATTTTATTTACTTACCTCAACTGAGGTATTTTTTTCTTTTTCACTATTTTCATAGCAGTATGATAAATGAGTCATTTAGCTATGAATGAAAAATATTTCACAAATCCTAAAAATTAATTTATCAAATTTTAACAATAGAATTTATTTGCAACGTTTGAACATTTTGCAACAGATTCACGGCAAATGGTACACAAAAGAAATCATCCACTCAAACGAGTGTGACTAATTTAGCGCATGAAACAGCAGCACAATCAGCTAACATTAGTCAAAGTCAAATATCTGATTTAGCAAAGGTTCCATTTTTCATTCAATTCAAATTAACTTGAGAAATTTACTAGCAATGAATTTATGGAAAGTTTTTTGAAAATTATTTTGATGAATGAATGAATAATAAATGAGGAAAACAAAAAAATGAAATGCAAATTAAATCTTAATTTTGCTTTGGAATTCTTTTCACATTAAAAAATTTTCATTTCAAAATTAGTTTTGTAATAGATAAATTAATTTTCAATAATTTGAAGATAGAAAATAAAAATCATTTTTAATAATTTATCTTTAAAGGAAAAAAATTTCATGTCTGAGACGAAAATAGACAATTTTGTGGAAAATCTAAATGAATGTTGCATGGCACTTCGAAAAGCTCGCAAAAATATCGCTAATGTTAAGGTTTGTAGCATTTATTCATTGCTTTACATATATATTAACTTATTTACTTTAATTACTTTCAATACAATTTACTGTAAACTTTGACATTTCTTTTCTCGTCCTCCCTCTTTTTCAACATTTCTCGTGAAAGAAATTTCAAATTTACTTGCAACATTACAAAACAGGTATCGAAATTAATTTCTTTTTGCGCAATATTTTAATTTGAAGATAGAAAATAAAAATCATTGTTAATAATTTATATCAGAAAAAATTGTTTACAGCTTCTCGTTGGTGGTGAAACATTGGGCGAAGTTCACAGATATGATATCGATACAAAAGCAATCATAAATGATCTCAAATATCTTGAACAAAACATTCATCGAAAAATCACAATTTGAACGAACATTTCATCATTAATTAAGAAATTAAGAAAGATGAAGTGATTAAGAAAGAAATATTTCAGTCGATTATTTGTTATATTTCATTTAATCGAAAAAATTTTCATTAACTGCAAGTAATGATTTTTCCACTCAATTTTGCCATTTCGCCGTGATAAAATGTGATTTGAAAATATTTCTACTTCAATTTTATTATTCAAATTTTTATCAACGAATCAGACTTCATTTCTAAATTATCCAACGTCTTTTTTTTTGACACTTTGACAATAAATAACAGTTGATGTCATACTTCATTTTCTTTTTTTTCTAGCAAATTCAAAAAGATTTAAAAGTATTTTGAAAATACATTTTGATGTCATAATGAGTCAAAAAAAAAAAATTTTGTCCAAATGAGCAGAAATGAAAAGTATGCATTATTGGTGAATAAAAATTAGCAAAAGAAATTTGTATTGCTTTTTGTATTAGTAACAGTAAATATTTGCTATCATCACTGATCTTTTAGTGATTTATCATCTTCATTAACAATTGAAATAAATCATATCGATAATGCAACGATAACAACTTTGACAAAAATCAATTTGTTATCAATGACAAATCACTAAAAAGATGAATTCCTAATTGAGAAAAAAAAAGTTGACAGCTTCCGAAATATGTTAATGTGTACGAGACAGATATAATTGAATGATGCAAATATTCAACGAAAAATTTTGATCTAACGCTGAAAAATTTATTATACGCCATATTAGCATATTGATAGTATAAACTCTTCGAGATGTTAAGGAAAAAAGCGCTTCTTAAATTTTTGCACTTTTCTATTTATACTTTTCCACTTTCTCTTATTCTATCAAACATTTGCAGAGTTGTTTTTCAATGAATGTTGGAAAATGGTCTCTTTCTCACTTGAAATTACCTGTTTGCAAAGTTCACCTCTCGAAATAATGAAGCGTGCAATTTCTCATTTCCCTGCTCTTTACACCTGCTGATAATAAAGAGTATAAGATGAGACTTTTTTTTTATAAGTCAATGGTGCAAAAGTTCAACTAATTTGAGATCAAAACTGGAAGCTAAGTTTTGATGCTAGGCAAAAAAGCTTTTGGAAGCGTATGGTGAAAAGAAAAATGTTAGTTAGCATTGAATAAATTCAGTATTTTTATACAATTTTCGATATTTAAATAAATGGCAACATTCAATGAAAAGAGAAACATTAAAACATTCACTTATGAGCATCAGATTTAAAGTAACATTGAAATTTAACATATATTAAAATATACATAGCATAGAAAGATATAGCTGGCATTAATTCATTTCTTGTTTTATTGAAAAAAAAAACATTTTTATTAGTAATAAATTGTTTTCAGTGCTTTTTGATACTGTAACATAAAGCATCATTTTGATCTGAACAACATCAATTTCATTTAATCTGCGACACACCTGAAACAAAAGTTGTTATGCTTAGCATCAAAATGTTCTTGATTTCTATCTAAATTCAAATTGATATCTTAAAAAAATGACTTTAATTAATGATAAATAAATCAATATTATGAATAATTTTTATTTTGATCTAAATCATATTTGCTTATCAATTCAAATTCCTCGATCTTTTTCATTCTTATCATTTGCATTTAATTTTTATCTTCCATTGATTCATAAAAAAAATGATTTTTTACCTTCTGTATTAGTGGGTAAACCTATCGTCGTATCACCAATCTGTGATATTCCCGTCATTTGAGACACACCACCAACTGTAGTTGCTTGTGAAATACCGGCCATCGTTGATACCTGTAACTGTTACAATACATCAAAGCAGTAAATTAATGTGAAAGATTAAAAAAATCGATTTAATTTTTTTAAACATTAAATTTTTGGCAATAATTAATTTTAAATTTAAAGTGAGATGAACCGCTCGTATCATTTTTAATTTGTTTTAAAAAAAGAAAACAATAAAAATGTCGTGAATAAAACTTTTTTTTTTGCAAATTATCATTGTTTAAAGGATGACAGAAAAATAGAAAATAAACATCGGTTGTTGCAAATCTCCCATATGTTTTCCTCATTTGTGCATTCCATCGTTTATAATAATTTTTCGAATTTCGACACAGTAAAAAACTAGCTCCAAAAACACTACAAAAAAAAGAAAAAATTATTTGGTTAATATTTTCAAAAAAAAATTAATAAACAGAATTAATTTTAAGCTTAAAGTCAATAATTAATAGAATTAATTTTAAACTTAAAGTCATTAATTTTAAGCTTAAAGGCAAAAAAAATTCAATCAAAGTTTTATTGAAAATTGAAAGATAATGCTATAAATAACATTTTTTTGGTTGTTAAAGCATTCCAAAATTAGAAGAATTCGATTAACCAATGATAGGTGATATTTTTTAACATTTTCAACTCCCTTATCTCAATAGTATGGAATTATTCAAGTTCCAGAAATTTAATCAGAAGTTTTTTTTTTTTTCTCTTGCAAAATTCTACCAAATAATTGTTCAGTAAATGAGCGATGTGTAGTTTGTTTTTTAGCGTTTATAAGTTAAAATTGAGTAAAAGTAAAAAATTAGCCTAGAATATATACTTACCCAACGCAGGTACCAACTATAAAACCAAGAGGTATAGACCAGATATTGACACCTTTTCTGATGCGATACCTGAAAAAATTTTTATCATAGTTATAAGAAATGTCACCTTCATCTTGTTTATCATTCAATATAATTAGAAGACGCCTATTATTTCAAACTTTCTTCTAAAAATAGAATTTAAATTTCAGTCAATTAAAATTCAAAAATGAGATTGAAAAAATGCTTACATTATTCCAGGACGGAAATTAAAAATAACACTGCGTTTCATGAATGTATGAGTGGTTGGTGGTGCCTGACGTTTAAATGGATACATTCATTCACTATGCATCATTTAAAATCATCGAAATATTGATTGATTTTATCAAAGATGATATTTGAAAGAAGAATTGTTCTATTTTTTGATTTAAATATTTAAAAAATAATTCTTTACTAAGCTACATAGAGCTTTTTGTTTGAAAATATATTTGCAAAGTATAGGGAAACATTATGCAAATTAGATTATTTAAATAAAAGGGAAAAGTATGAATGTGATAGAATGGATTCAAAACTTGATTAACTTATAATTCAAATTTTAACTCACTGAAAAACGAGCACCACATGAATTAGCATCTTGTGCAAGAACAAAATATAATTCTTTTGATTTGGACCATAAATCGAATGTTTCATAAAATGTTGTGTAAGCAGGTGTTGTTTCATCTATTGGCTTACGGAAAAGTATTGGTCCATGTCTCACTTCCAAACCAAGTTTCTGAGGTTTTGATCCCAGCTGTAATCAGTAAACAACATAAAAGCTTATCATATGTTTAATCAAATTTTCCAGATGGAATAATTTACATTTTATTGTCAAGTTTATTTGCTAACGTATTCGAACAATTGCGCTTAATAACTGATCATAATTTTACCTAAAAACAAATTTGTCCTTCTTTAAAAACAAATTGACAAATACTAAAAAACAAATATTAATTTATTTTTTGATATTTGTTTTTTTAAAAACAAATATTAATCAATTTGCAAATTTTACAACTATTCTATGCTAAAAAATTTCATGATTAGTATTATGTATAAATTAAACCATTCGCCAAATGTTTCGTACATGATCATAAATTATCGATTGCATTAAAACAATTATTTAAAAAAATAATTTCTCGAAACAAAAAAAAGAAACAGTTTGATCAAATATTCGTCATAAAATTTTTGTGTATTTTTAGAAAGTTATAAAATGCTACCATAGCTTTTATGAAAAAAAAATTCCAGATAAAAAAAATGTATATATACATATATATACATCATTATGTATGATAATTGTTTCGACATTTGAAATACCACTCATTTTAGAACGATAACTACTTGGTACTCCACCTGTAATTTGTAATTAATTTGTCAGCACTGTAATGATCGAAAATTATTTCGAAATCATTAAAAGTTTCCAATATAAAAATAAACTCATTTTTGTGTTTCTATTTTAATTAAAACTAATAGAAATGATAACAAAATAAGGAATCGATAATATACTGATATTAAATTATTAATATATTATTATAGTATTGATAACATACTAACCAAATCGATAATATATTGATATTAAATTATTAATATATTAATACATTATTATAGTATTAATAACATACTGATCAATGTCTCTCATATTATATTTCTTTTCGAGAATGTAGAAAAAACTTACAGTACGTGTATGTAATAAATATACCTTTGTACAGAGCTGAATAATGCATGTATCCTTTTTGTTGACTTGAATTACTCCATGACCATGGTATCGGGAATTCCCATTCAATTGCTGTCATTCCTGCGCATGCATCTACTTCATATACTGATCGTTCTACCAGTGCAAAAACTTCTTTGCTTAACTTTTTATCGTAACCTGTTTCACCATATTTTACCTTTGAGAGCAAATCGAAATGGCGGAATAAATTAGTTTTATTCCCGAAACATAGCTTTATCCTAAAATTCTCTCTTTTTTTTTTGATGATTTTTTTTTTTTGAGACAAAGAAAAATGGGAAATACAATATAGTAAAATAAGTGCTTATAAAAAGATAAAATATGATCAATCAGGTAAAAAGTTTGTTAACTATAAATTGAAAATAATAGTATAATAATTGTAAAAAGGTAATTATGGAGGATTTTCTTTTTTAAATTTCAAAACATAAATATTTTTTTTATTCATTTTATTCAAGTCTGATTTATGTAAACCTAAAAAATTTTTGGACTTTTTATGAAAATAATATATGCTTGTACACAATAACTTGAGAAAACGATTTTCATTTATTCTAATTTCATTATTATTTTTTGGAATTGAAATTGAAATTTTCAAATTAAGAAGTCAAAAAAATAAGTAAAAGAAAAAAGTTGAATAGCCAAAATTCATTTAAAATACTATTAATAATAAGTATTTTTAAAATTAACCAAAATTGATGCTTAAAATTTCATTATTTTATTTTATATATTAAAAATACATACGCTTTGCATGATTTTCGTGTAATCTGAATGGCAAAGGTAACATTTGGATGTTTAGCACGACCTTTGACAGTTTCCTTTGAAACAACAAATTGCAACTGTTCGATGTTTGATGCATGACTTTCATAAGTAAGATTATCTTTTGCTGTTATCACTGGTGTCATATATTTTGTTATCACTGTTGATACTCGTGCTCCAGGTGGTACCTTAATAAATTAATAGCAATTTCATTAAAATTTTAAAAAAGAAATTAAGATAACAAAACTACGGTTCAATTTATTAAAATCAATTCATTCTGTAAGAAAAAAAAGAGTGAATGAGAAGATGCTAATATAAAGTAATGCAATAACGATACCTGAGAATTGAGAATATTTAAAATTGCTTGTAGCAAAAGTACAAATAGTAATTTTCCACACAACATTGACTATCAAATAGACCGAATTGGAATGATAACTGCGCAAGAGAATGGATTATTTTGCACCAAATTAAATTCAATTAAATTTATTTTCAAAGAATTAAAAATATTCCTATGATTTATTTATTAGAAATATTTTGCATGTATATGCATATTTTCTTTTAGTCGTTTATAATGTAAATTTCAACAAATCCGATTCAGAATTTTGTTATCCAAATTATTTCAAATTTAATTTTTCTTCAAATATCATAAATTTATAGCTATTTATACTAATTACTGTTTCTTTCTTATTATCCCATATAATATTTTTCTTATTGCTTAACTTTCCGGATTTTTGATCTCTTGAATAAGACTTACAAATGCGAGAAATCAATCATTTTGTTTAAATGATAAATTGATTGTTAGATAGATATCATATTTGGTTCGGAAATATTTACGGTTTTGAGACTTAATTGAAGCATCATTCTGTCATTTCCATCGTCACATTTCATCATCAAAATTTTAGTTCAACAACCTGTAGATATAAATTATTTTGTGTTACAAAACAAAATCTAATTATTAAATCTATGAATTAATGAAAAGTTATGCTTCAATTTTCCTTCCCGGTTAATCCAACTCTGAACATCTCTTCCTTCTATCGACCATAGGTCATGAACATTTGAGATCAAAATTTACTGCAAAATTTGATTTAAAACAAAAAAAAAAACATATTCGAATGAATAAATGAACAAGTAAATATGCGTATAAAAATTGAAATAAATACCAAAAACTTTTCGCAATATTCAAACGAGACATATTAACCTTCCCATAAGAGAGAACAAAAGTATACTGAAGGTTAACGTAAGGTGAAACGTTATTGTTGCGTGACGCTCCTCCAACTTTCATGAAATACGTTGGAGTAGTGAAAATGAGGCCCACTTTTTTGGCCAATTTGTTATTTCTGAAGGATCGATAAAGGTTAAAGGATATGGGGAGGATTAGTGATACTGTGCGCATTTTATCATAGCGGACAAATGTACCTTATCAAATTATGGTCAATTGATGCAAGAAAAAACCAAATGAAGTTAAAGCTCAAAGGATATTACTAACCTTTTTTGGTAATGGGAGATTATTATTAATCGTTTTCTGTTACTTCTTACATTTTCATTTCTAAAAAAGACATCATTCTAATTGTTATAAGTACTATAAACCATGGTTAAGTTACCTATCTTGCTGAATATTGTATTCTGTTGGCCTTTTTCTTCACGAACAACTATCATTATAGGCCTGGCAAAAGACCATTTGACCATTTCCCACTAATATTTTTGTTTAATAAGGATAAATTACCTGTATATATATGTGTGTGTGTGTGTGTGTGGGTGTGTGTGTATGTGTATGCGTGTGTGTATGCGTGTGTGTATGTGTGTGTGTGTGTATACATGTGTGTGTATACGTGTGTGTTTATGTTTGTGTGTGTATGTGTGTATGTTTATGTGTGTTTATTCTTGTCATTTATGAAAAACGATTCTGAAAGTTACGCAGCAGCAAAAATGATTAATCATTTGATAAAATGTATTATCCAATATTAGTTACATAATATATCAATACAGTTAATCTGTTGTCCACTCACGTTGTTTTCAATTTTAATTATCCAACTTCTTTATTTTTCTCTTATAAAATGATTTAACTACCTAATTTAATTAAATTAGGTATGCATTGTTATGGATTAATTTTTAATTAATTCTTCTACTGATTACTCGTTAGCTTTTACATAATTGTGTTTCAGGATTTTGGAGAGCAACAGATCTTTATGCCGTAATTATTATACACATCTTACTTAATTTTTCGTGTTTAGTCTGTTGATTGTGTTATCGGTAGTTGATACGTTATATTTGGTAGAAGTTATTTTGCGTGCTTGTTCATATAACATATGTCGTTGTTGGAACGTCTCAAAGATTTCGATGCATACACGAAACCGCTAGATGATTTCCGTGTTCGGACATTTGCTGGTGGAGCTGGTAAGTAGTCATAAAAGTATAAGATGTTAGATAGAGGATTCTACTTTAAAATGTTACGAAATGTATTATAAAGCAAATGCTGACACCTCAGTTTTACGTATAAAAAGTGTTCAATATAATTTACTGAAATTGAACTGAACACTTTATATATATGATAAGGTATTAAGCAGAAATTTGTTGGGGTATTCTGAGGTTTTCGATATACAAATTTGAAAGAATTTGAAATTTGCTGTATTTTTAAATCAAAAAACTTTCCTTGTAAAATTTGTAATTTGTACTTTTATAGTTACTTTGTTAAGCAGCGCTGTGATCATATTTATGTTTGTATCAGAAACGCTATCGTTTTTATCGGTGGAAATAGTTGAGCAGCTTTATGTGGATTCAACACCTGCTGAGCAACGAGTGGATGTTAATTTTGACATTACGTTTCCCAGATTACCTTGTTCTGGTTCGAATCGTTTTCGTTTTAGTGTTTTTTATTGTTTCAAGTTTTGTGAGCTGTTTTTATTTTGCCCACTTAGTTTTGGTATAAATAATAAAATAAAGTTCATGTACGTATTTAACTCATCCATTTGATAGGTACCTTTTTTCTTCATCATATATCTTTTGCAATATATATATTTTTTTTGTATTTTTCAGTGATAACAATTGATGTGATGGATTTAAGTGGCGATAATCAGGATGATATCAAGGATGATGTATATAAAATAAGTTTATTAGATGGAAAAGAAGGAAGTGGAGTGAGGCAAGGTTAGTATTTCTCCTTTTTTTTCGATAAGTTGCCTCCTTCACATTTTAAGCTGTTTTTGACACATGCATTTGTAATATGAAATTTGAATAGAATTTATGATACAAAATTCTAAGTTCTTCCACGTAACTTCAATTTATTTCAAGGGTTTTATATATAACTTATCACGGCTTAATTCCTTACAATGTTTCTCTTTCAGCTGTTTGCTATTTCTTCATTTACAGTTTTATTATCGATGTAATTTCCAATCTCGTAAATCCATAAAATTTTGTTTGTTATGAAACCCAAACATTAGATAAAAGCGAAGACCTAAAACTTTCTTGTTTTTGTACGATTGTGATTTATTTGCAATTCTTATCAATCAGTGAAAAATGGGTTAAGGTAGCTTTACTTTTCTGAAATATTTTATGTTTGAACTATTAAACATACTGCTTGATAAAGTTTTCAGGAGTGAATATTAATACGACCACGATATCTTCAGTGCCTGCTTCTCAAGTTTTGTGTGGTAGTTGTTATGGAGCCAAAGACGGGTATTTCTGCTATATTAATTGCTACATTAATGCATATTAATTTCAAATTTAAAATTTCTGTCATTAGATCAAGGATCGAATTTTTGTTTTGACAGCTGAAGAATATAAAATGTCTCGAAATTAAAAGTACTCTAAAAATTAGTATTTTCAGCAGCGTGAATATCTTGTATTCAGTACTGAAATTCTTGTACAATAATTTTCCGACACTTTGTGGATATATTTAATTATTTTTTGTTTAATTATAGTACTTTAATAATGTTGCTTCATAGATGTTGCAATAGTTGTGAAGAGGTGAAGGAGGCATACATGAGAAAAGGATGGGAACTAATCAATATCGAAACAGTAGAGCAATGTAAAAGCGATTTATGGGTTAAAAAAATGAACGAACATAAAAATGAAGGTTGTCGAGTTTATGGCAAGGTCCAAGTCGCTAAGGTTTGTAATTCTTTTGATTCTACTGAAGTTTTATAACTAAGTGATCTTTTAAATGACCAGTTATAAAAAAATATAGTGGTAGAAAAGGGTCATTACATTAAAGCTAATTAATTGAATTTCGATGTCCCTGTTTTTGGTATTTTCGACTTACATAACAGCTACCAGGATATATGCATCATTAGTTCCAGGTTGCTGGTAATTTTCACATTGCGCCAGGTGATCCACTCAGAGCCCACCGATCTCATTGTAAATGCGTTAAAATTATTTTGTCTTTCATTTTCTTAAGGATATTTCTTGCTTGTTTCTAATGAATAAATAATTATAGATGAGAATAAAAAGTAGCAATAAATCTCCCTGAAGTAATAAAAACATGACCACAAAAAAAATTTTAACTGCTCCTACATGCCTTTGCGCTATTTTTGCTACTCAATTTTCTGGATTATTTCATACACTGCCTCTTGCAAAATATTTATACGTTAATTGCTTTATTAAAGTTGCTTTCTCACTTGAGAACACATTTTGTATTATCTTTTTTTTTCAGTTCATGATTTACATTCACTTTCACCGTCAAAATTCGACACAAGTCATACAATCAATCATTTTTCTTTCGGAAACTCATTTCCGGGAAAGATTTATCCATTGGATGGAAAATTCTTTGGATCTGCGAAGGATTCAGGTAACTTTGAAAAGTTGTTTTGCAATTTTAACTTTAAATATTGTTTGTCTTCATTAAATGGTATAAATTCAGATGATGCCTTTAGAAATTTGATTTAGATGGTATAATGTATCAGTATCATCTAAAATTGGTACCGACCTCATATGTTTTCTTGGATTCTACGAAGAATATCTTCAGTCATCTTTTCTCTGTCACTACTTATCAAAAAGATATATCTCAAGGAGCGTCCGGTTTACCTGGTTTTTTCGTGCAATATGAATTTTCACCATTGATGGTCAAATATGAGGAAAGGCGACAGTACGTTGTAACAATCGTTTCGAATCAAAATGTACTTGAAACATCCGTATTTTGAGATTGAATGTTATTGAAATAAAAATCCAATATTTCAGTTTCTCTTTTTTAAAGATAAGAATTTTAAAAATATTCATGTTTTTTTATTGTAGCTTAAATATCTTGTGCCTGAGCTGCTTTTAGATTTAGTCATTTTATTTTATTTCAGATACATTTTATGATTACTTATTCATTTTTCCTCCAAAATTAATCTTTTAAAATCCTTTTTAATCCTGAAGATTTTTTTTTCAACTGCTTCTATCCATTGCAAAATGTAAAGGCATTCAGTCTTAGGTGTGAAAGCGATCCAAGTTAATAGAGATAAATTTATTTTCAGGAGTCTGTCTACATTTCTTGTTTCAATATGTGCGATTATTGGTGGTATTTTTACGGTTGCAAGTTTGATCGATGCATTCATTTATCGTTCGGGACGAATTATTAGTCAGAAGATTGCGCTTAATAAATATACATAGGTTTCTGTTTTTAGGGATTTCGGTATAGATAGTGAGTATTATAATACCTTTTGAGGAATGGTGCATTGTTATTGTAGCTCCAGTTCAAGTTTTGAGATCATCCACATTGGTACAACGGTTTTAAAAAAACCTTCTACTGCATCTTGTTTTCATAATTGTGATTCAAGTTATGAAGACAAAAAAATATTTAGCCTCGATTTTTTATTATTTTTGTTTAAGTGCCTCTGATTTTAATCTTTTTTTTTAAATAGGTTATAATTTTTAAATGAAAGTGATAAAAGTATATAGGAAAAATGATATCATTCTTTGCATCCCGTCGAGCATTAACCAACATAGACTGATTTTTGCATGCAGTATAGTGGTGTATAACGTAGATATTCTTAAACTAACAAAAGGGAATATCGTAAGACTTCACCTCTTTTGATACATCAGTGAGATAAAACACATTTGAATTCTTTTTGTTATCGATTTTTTTCTCAAAATTTAATCCACACTTCTCATTGTGTTTGTTATTTGTTTTTCTCCATAACAGATTGCTGGTTTATCGTTTTGCGGGTATCCAATTTGACTCCTAATTAATTATTTATTGTTATTGAGATGAGGTCCATGAAATTTGTATTCAACTATTATAAAAGTTAAGCAGGACGTTATGTCATCTCTCAAAGTTGTTCTTCCAAATACGTTTTCTGAGGCATGCAAAGATTTAGAATGTGTCAGGAAATCTTAATACTTTCTTTGCACTTACATCAGACACTTATTATGAAGGTTGGTTTTATATGTTGAATTGATATATATATCTGGCAGAAAAATTTTTTTTCTGGATAACGTCAACACTATCGTAAGAGCCTTAAAAGGTTGTGAAAGCGTTCTAAATTATGTTTTGCGTGGGACGTGAGATTCTTTACTACTTTGGAAGTTTGCTTGACTGTGTTTTTTAGAATTTTTGACTTATATTCTTGATTCTTCAGGATTACTCGTGTAAGTTTTCGAATGGCATGTACAGATAAAGTTTTTCTGGACATTACTCTCTAAATCATAAAATATGCCATTGAAATTTTCTGTGTGAACCTATCAGTGTATTTGTCCAGCTTATTAAATGCTCAACTGCATTTTGCAGTACGAGCTATACTGGGTGTGAGGATTTCAGGTTTAGGCGAAGTACATGGCAGTCGATAATGGTTTACTTATCCAAATGAAATAGTAGGAGTCACACGAAATCAATTCTTTTTATTAATGTAGGTCGACTGCATTACCATGAGACTTTTGACATTTGCGATTTAGAGCGGTTTAATGCTTAACTGGATGACAGGAATGAATTAAAAATGACATCTATTGAGTCAAAACAAATTGCAAATTTTATAATTTGTCAGTAAACAGTAAATATTCTTCTTCATAACCATTCTGCAAAAATCTCGGGCAAGTGTCAATAAACTGTTTCGTGACGCGATCTTGTTCAAAAACTGCATAGATAATTGCTCGGCGTTCCATCGAGTCTTTATCATATTCGCCAACAATCTTTTTTTTTTTTTTGAATAAGAAATCGTTTACGTAGATATATGTATATGATTTTTTATGGAATTGGATTTCATATTTGAATGTACCCAAATGTTTCTAAGTTTGTACGAATTAGGTTTCTCGAGACTTCTGAATTACTATGATTTTTTTTTGCATTTGTAAGATTTTACAATTGTAGAGAGCGTTTCTTTTCTTGACTTAAAAAATGATTCTAAAAATAAGAAAAAGCTTACTTATTTCCTAAATCTCTAATTTAGTACCTGTTCGATAGAGAGGCCACATATTTGTGACAATGCTACAACACCTACTATCGGAAGCTGTAAACGTATTAATTATTAATTTTGTATTTGAAATTGTAATTAATTTTGCCATAAAGTGAATTTCCTGAATTGTTCTTTTCCTAATTAGCTCTTTTTTTGATTATTTTTCAATTTGAAATTATTATTTTACACTCAGAATTATCAAGTTTATCATCATGCTCTCTCATAATGCTTTTATATTTTAAAGAGAGATAACTTATGGGTAATTGAAATTTCCTTCAATTCTTTAAATGAGAAGAGAAAAGAAGAAACTTACAGCCGCAAATTTGGCAACTTTTAGTGAAGCTGCAAATTTTTCTTCACACAGTGCAATCTCGGTGGTGGCATGTCCATGTTCTAGTAAACAGAGTAGAATACCGTTGAATATGATAACCAATGTTAAGCTACCACAACTGGACATTATCGCGCACCACGTTAGTGTTTCCATATCCATCTTTTTTTTTCCTCTCGAAGTTCCTTATAAAATTATGAAAATAAACTAGCTAAAATTTTCCTAAAATTTCAGATTTTTATTTTTTCATAAATTTAAAATTCTTGCTAAATCAAAATTTTCTAACAAGAGAGATAGAAAATCAATTCATATTTCTTTATTTAGTATTTGTTTTTTTGTTCCCGATAAAAATTATGAAAGAATTTATTACCGCAAATCTCTTTCTGTTGTGAGAATTTTCAGAACAGTGAAAGCAACCACCACGTCCTTTTAGCTTGAACAAGCATGTCACTGAAGACTTTGTTGGCGCTGTCTTATGTCAGATTTCTGTTTTATGATTTTAATTTTATGCAAATTCTGGCATAATGATGAAGCGCCGTTTTTTGCTGAATGATTGATGAAAGGAGGAGAGGAAAAAGCATAATGTCTTAGATTAAACTATTCGGTACAGGTAATTAGCTCGAAATTGTTCTATGAACGTATTCACATTACACAGGTTATCCCAAATATACGACTTAACTGTTGGAGGAATTTTGGCTTTATCACCGTATTTCGCATATATTATTTCTGTCAGATGTTCATATCACACTGCCTCGAAATGTTATAAAGGTTATGATTAGTTGGATCAGAATAAATAGCTAGATTTATTGGAGAGAAATACATTAGCATACGTACATTAGAAGTATTCATACTATTTTTATACAATCATCGATAGATCCGCTCTAAATGTATAAAAGGAAACTAAAAAATGAGCCTTATTTAAATATTTAAGGCATATGTAAAAAGGTAATATTTAATATTTATTTGTTGTTATATATCTAATATGAAAATTTGATATGGCAATTTACATCCATTGTCTTGATATTACTGAGTAAAAAAAATCGGATGATAATGATGCTTGTATTGGTGTTATTCTTTCATGCTAAATGAAAAAATTTGGTAATACGGGTTTGTATATTCAATTTATAGGTATTGTTTAAAGGTACTGGTTAATCAAAAAAGGAGACATGGGGAAAAAACACAGTTTCAATTCCTTAAAAATATTTTTATTTTTCTTTTTAAATTAGTACGTTTGGAAGAGTAACGGGATCCTTCTTATATCATTGTCAGATTTTAGTCAACGAGGTTTACGTCTTTGTGATTGTTTGCGTTCTCTATTATTATTGCTTTTTTGAAGTATTTTAAGCAAACTTATAGATATCTGGTTGTTGATTGGAAGGCTCAAATATTTCTGAAATCTTGTAATCTGTTACGAATCATTGAGTTAGTTATCACTGGAAAGGTCAGTTTAAAAAAGTGAATTCATTTTATAATTTCATTTCAGCATTTGCTCATATTATTGCTGCTCTTATTACTGCATCAAAGTTTGATGATGCATTTTGTTATCAGATAATTTGAGTTGAATTTAGAAAACTCGAGCGTTATTTTAAGTAGAGCTCATTATAGCTATTAGTGGTCATCATCCATTAAAACTAAAATATCAAAACAGATTATTGTAGAGCTTGTTTATTTAATATGAATACGATATTCCGCACGGTGATTGCAATTTTTGTGTTTTTCGTGGCGTTTCAGCACTGTACTCAACTTATGGCTACTACTCGATCAATTGGCCAAGCTTTGTACTCTGTTGTTTATGTTACCGTTCCAAATTCATCTGTTGCACAGCAAATTGCCAGGTATTCCTTTTTTTTGCTTCTCTTAAAAATGAAAATTTTTTGCTTTTTTTGACAGTGAATACGTTCATTACTTAATACATGAATAGTTTGAATTGAAACGTGCATTTCTATGTGTTATTTTTTTAATTTGCTGAATAAAAATTACCAGTAGCTTTCCCACGAATCATGCGTCTTTACTTGCACTTATGAGTGCGTTATGTTTTTTTTTTTATTCATTTATATTTTCTTTTTAATTCTGTACACCTTAATGTTTCAGAGAAGTTGTAAAGGGAAAGTATGCTGCTTGTGTTAACATCGTGCCGACCATTACTTCAGTGTAGGTTCTCTTATTTCATGTATATTTAAAGGATTGAAATAATTTCAATAGCGCTAGATTTTACAAAATTTTCATATTTTATAAAATGAATATGCTCACACATTTTAAAATCGTTCATATTTATTGCAGGTTGTAACAGTACATATTTTTTGAAATTAATTAAATGCCTAACATTATTCAAGTTACTTGTTTATAAATTTTCCATTTTATTTCTCTTTTATAATTTTTTTCATGACTTTTCTATTCCTTTATTGAAATTTTACGAAACAACTTTTATTCTTTTCCAATTTGCTTATTGTTTGTTCTATTTCTAGATCATTCTAGATATGAATGGGAGGATAAACTGGAAGAAGATAAAGAAACGTTACTTGTCATAAAAACAAAATCGGCAGCACTAGATGCTCTGAAGACAAAAGTGCTCAGCATGCATCCGTACAAAGTACCTGAATTTATTGCTTTACCGGTGAGCTTTAAACCCATCACATGTGCTCTTCTTCATTAATTTAAAAATAATTCAAAGGGTTATACCAATCACTCATGAAAGTTTTGTTTTGAAAATGATCTTTTCTTGTCCATATTGCTTGTTTTTTCAACTTACCTACATTTAGAAAGCCTGTGTTACTTTCTTTCAAAAATGTTCTCCCTTCACATACCTGTAACAAATCTTTCTGATACCTGTAACAAGTCTTTTAAATTTTAGACACTATAAATCTTAGGATTTATAATAACCATCCACTAAATCTTGCAAAAAATAAGAATCAAAAGTTTCATTTTTCGTTCCTTTTTTCTGAAGGAAAAGAAAACCAAATCGATATAGTATTGAAAAATGCAATAAGTATTATCTTGTTTCATTAATCCAAGTCAAGCTCTATATTTGAAATCAAATCTGATCTTCTGTTACGTTTTATTTCAGATAGAAAGTGGCAGCGAAACTTATTTACAGTGGATTGATAAGCAAGTCAATTCATGACCACCGGACAGTATTGGGAACAAAAACAGAATTCAGACATTTAAGATCCCCCATGGAAACTGAAAAACATTTATTCACATGAAAACCGCTTGTGAAGCGAATTATGTATTACGCTAAACATATAAATTTTTTTTGGTGAAAAATGATTCATCCGTGGTATTTTTAAGGAACTTTAAAAAATTCACCTAACAAAATTCACTGTGAAAAAAATTTACTTAATTCACCTAATAGCATATATATATATATTAGTGCATTTGTACGACAAATTTTCTTGACCTATCCCATTCTATTTTAATAAGGAAATGTGCTGCTCTTCTTAGAAGTTGATCATGCGAATTAACGCAACTCACAATTATTAATCACAAAAAAGTGACTACCACTTAACAAGCGAAATATCAGAGTATCAAAGTAATTATCGACACAGTGTCAAAATATCAAAGTACTATCAGCAAAATGCAGGAAATTTAAATTTCCTGTTCTTTTTAATGATTCTCAACTTATCAATAAATTGTTTCATTCAAAAGATACTACAATTCTTAATTTCTGTTATTTTTTACACATACAAAAGAAACTCTATTGTTTCTTTACAGAAATTAGTTGAATATTTGTTTGACACAATTTATGATGTTTCTTTCGTTATATAGGTATATTTTCTGCTGGAGCAGTGCTCCACTGCCCTCCTGATGATACTGTTGGTAGCGTCGATACTTCAGGTGCCTGATATCTATACATTGGTTGTCCTGCCGGCTGTTGCATCGATACCTATAATAGTTATTCATTTGAAGTAATTGTAATTTCATAATCGACAAGTAACTAGAACAAAGCAAACTCAAGAGAAAAATTTAGGGCAGAATCAAAAGATATCTTAAATTTTATATGAAACTCAAATAACACATCTCGCTGAATATTCATATTCATAATCATCAAAGTTGAACCTGGTATTGCGCTTGCTGCACAGCTCGATCATACATTGATAATACATCCCTTATTGCAATATCCACTTGTGCCAAAGCATTATGCTGCCTGTCAATTTCTGCTAATCGTGCGTCTATTAATGGAGCCTTAAATACTCTAGTAAATTTTAATGAATCAAATAGTAAGTAGATGAGACATAAGGATATGAGAGAACTTCAAATTTATGTAGATTTTAAAGTCCAAAAACTAGAAGAAATTATGTTTTGCATATGCAAGAAAATCTGAAAGTACTTGAGCTAAACTTCGTTGTTCCAGATCCGCGAGTTCAGGTGGATCTGGTCTTTCTCCTGTTGGATCACAGTCTTCAAGTACACGAAGACATTCTTCCAGCACTTTTTTATCAATTCTTGCTACAGAAACCTAAATGAGTCAACATGGAAAATTTGCAATTTCTTTTACCGATTATTTCGAACGCTCTCAACGAGAGATGGGGAATTCTTCATTCTAAGACATTTCACTTCTGTCATGAATGAACTACAGTTACCTAAATAAGTATTAAAATAACAACGAAGGTCTATAAGAGCCATCAATGAAACAAATATTATAATAACAATGTTATTAACAACTGGCCTCCTTGTTCACTATTCCAACTATATTTATATAAAAAACTCACAGCTAAAGAAAGTGCCTTTTCCTTGACCAGCGGTTCACTTTCTTGAGGTAACAAATCAGATGTCACAAAGCTTGCTGGAAACAAGCCTTCCCCACGATTGGATCTACCTCTCCACCAATTCAAATCGCTATCGTCTATGACAGTAATTATATCGCCTGCCGAAAATGTCAATTCGTTATCCTCAGCAGCTTCAAAGTCGTACAGTGCTCGTACATCTCGTTCTGGCCTGAAATTCACGAAAAGGTAGAATAACGCTTAAAACCATTATTTTTAATGCATTATTGCATATACTATACATGAGAGCAGCATCTTTCAGGAGACGTCTGAAGAACTTGTAACTTATCATGAATCAATGACTCGAGTTCCCTTATAACCTCGTAACACATGGTTGTGCTTTCCCTAGCAGAAAGAAAGTATTAAATCCTGTAAATGGTGATGATTCCGTGATTTTATTTTCATGGATTATAAATAACTGCATCAAGAAAAAAGATTGCTAAGAAATGATATTAACTTCAATTTGATATCAAAAACTGAAAATACAAGGCATTCCTCACTGGGCCAAAAGAACAATTTATTGATCGAAGGATTCGTATAACTTATATTCACAGAAGAATATTTATCACTGGTTTTTAAATATCTATCACATTTACGAGTTTACAGATAAAGATCGTTTGTTTTTTTACTAACCACAGATTTTCAGACAAATTTAATTAGAATAAACTTACTTTGGTATAGACGAATACACAGTTGCACATGTTACTGGTGGATAAACAGAGGATGAACGATCGTTTCGTATCGATGTCTCTTGCAGGGACTTCGCTATAGCAAGAACTAATGCTTCCTCTTCTGCGCTTCGCACGGCATTCGAATCAGTGTTTAAAGACTGCAATTTTAATACAAAACTATTTGGATTATTTTAAGGACTAAGATTATTTGCACTCTCAATGAATGTGACATTTAAAATCTTGCTGCAGTTGTTAGATCTGATATTCACTCAAACCTGGGATAGAAACATACTTTTAGAAAAGAAATGAGCAACGTCTTATATTATATTGTCACAAAAGTATGATGATAAGGAAAATAATTAGAAAAGGACTGATCCGAGAACTGAACTACTTCTAAAATGTTTTTAAAGGTTTTAGGCTCAAGAATGTTAGGAAGGTCTGGATCACAAGTAATAGCCATTCAGCGTTGTAAGTTCTCATCAATGTAGTACGCTGTTTTAGAGATCAAAGAGATATGCGCTAATTTTTCATACTTACAAAACTGAACTACGTCATTGTGATAATCACAATTAGCCACAATTGGATGATCACTACCAGACAATGAAAATAAATGCAAATAGAATTTGTCATACTCAAAAAACAAAATTATTTTTCACATGTCTTTAATTTCTCGCTATGGACATCTGAAACAATAGGGCATAAAATAAACCAATTCATTTAAAAATTATTTAATTCATTTAAAATTCATTTAAAAACAGTAACATGAAACGAAAAACAATAAAACCACCTACTATACTCATTATTTGCATATAAGATCAATTTCAATTTTAGGGATTTTAAAAGTAAAATACTTTCATATCTACTCTGCTTGGATACCAAGTATGGAAATCATGTCAAGTTAGACTAAAAAAATTCTAAGATCTTATCATTAACAAATATAGAAAATTTTCAAAACGCAAGAAATTTTATTCTTTTGGAACAAATTCTAGTAATTTGTAATATCAGGGAAATAAATCACTTATCTTAATTATCGTAAATCGGAAACTATTTTGTTTTATTTTTTAGCAAAGGTATAATTCAACCTAAAATATGCAAGCATTGCTACGTACCTAATTTGTCTAACATATTTTATTTGCAAACTGTACCCAAATATACAAAATTTTTTTTCATTCGCTCCCAATCCTCCGTCCAAGAAAAAAAATTCAAATTTTAACTTCATCTCATGCACTGAAAATGATGTCTTCAATAATTTTATAGTTAATATACGAAATTAGTACAGTTAAGTATAAATACCTGGTGTTTTCATATACATACACTTGTAATATCAGAATCTCACCATTTCCAATTTCATCACTTCACAAAAAAAACTATTTATTATTAACAGTGCTTTCAAGAAGGTAGAGTTACTATTTTCGATGTTCCAAATACTCATACAGTAATCAATGATAATTAAACAACATACACAAGATTTGTCTGTTTCGAATGAATATCCTTCTGCGAGAAGATTTTTGTACAGAGTTTCAATCAAACCCAAAGATGCATCCTGTTTACATTCATTTTCGGACCATTTCTTAATAATCGAACGTGTTTTTTCACCGATTGAACGATTACTCTGCAAGCATTAAAAATTTATGCAGTCACATATGATAAATGCAGCTGCTAAGTTGAATTTATATTATTTATGAATACTTATATTTTTGCTAATAAGAAAAATATATTCACGTTTTTTCTATAAGCAAGAATAAAACAATTTGTATTGGACTCAATAACGTAGTAATGATACATGTCTTATTTCATGTCTTTAAGGATGTTTTTCACTAACATGTGTAGCTTTGAAATTTAATTCTTGCGAAAATTCACGCGACGAAACTTCACGTCTAAATGCGATCCCACAATTACTCCACAAGGAGTCCAACAAAGACAAGGCCAGCAAAACAACATGTGGATCACGATGATTTAATCTTTTCTTCACCGAAAGCAAGCACAGTTTGGCTCCTAAAACCGTCTTTTTATTGCGTATTTCGATCAGCAATGACAGCGTTATGAAAGCAATACAAAAAACTTTTGGAAAGTCTTTGTGTAACTGTATTCAGGATTACACCAGCCTAATGACTACTGTACATTGAATGAGGACCTTTATTTTGATCAGCAATTACTCGATCACATATATCAAGAATCAGTGTCCAATTCTCGGCAGTACATGTTTCAGCAGTAACTTTCTCAACGGATTCATCATAAGGTGATGGTGTTTCTCCAAAAATTGGCATCGTAAGGCCCAAAAAACAAGAGTTATATTATTTCCGACAAAATAAAGTAATAAAATCATTATGACGAAAAAAAACCCAAAATGTGAACAGTCAAAGTAATCAAAATAAAGTAATCAATAAAGTAATCCAAATAAGTTATACGAGCATTAGATACTTTGAATTTCAGAAAATCTAAGCTATGCATGAGAAATTCAAGAGCAAATATTTGTTGGGTAACTCTAGCTAATATCATTACCAATGTGAGTTTAGTTGACTAGTTTGAATTTTTTAAGGAAAATGATTAATTTTGATCCGCTGGAAAGTTTTCGCGAAAAAATTAATCTGCATAATATTTTTATGAATGCACTGATATAATGATGGCGATTTATTATGCTATTACGATGTGAATGACACAGATGAATCGTAGAATGATTATTGAAACATCAAACAAATTCAATTTTAAACTGCTTTAACATGTATTCGGAATTCTACGCCATGAGCTCATGAGAATTGTGTATGATAATTAAAAAACAAAATAACTCTGGAAAAAAGAGCAACTAAAGCAAATATCTCGTAATCAATTACTGGAGTATTTCAATCGTAAAAATTCAAATTTTTTTCAATTTTCGATCAAATTTTCAATCGTAAAAATACACTACCTAAGTAATTTCAAAAAATCATTACAAAAATTTTAATGACCTGAAATTGTATCACGTGATACTCGGACAATTCTCTGCGCTTTCGCAGCTACAAATTGTGATTTCATAATTTTAATTAATTAAAAAAGGAAGCGCAGAGAGGTCAAAAAAAAAGAAACTCTTCCAGCCACCGTTAGTTATGCACAACTAAAATTAACATCACATAATTCGCCTCATTTATACGTCATCCAAAATATCACTTCCAAAATTATCATCGATTAAAGTTCGTATCGATGTTAACTGCGCAAGAAAAGTTCGACCATCGAATGGGATGATGGATTGCAAGGATGGTGGGAATTGAAGGTGAGGAGAGGAGAGCGAGGAATTCAAGAGATGGATGGAATTTTTTTGAAATTACTGTTGATAAGAGTGTATTATCTTCAATCTCCTGTGCTACTAACTAACTAATTAAAACTAATTGTATTCAATTAAAATTTAAGAAAAGGGAGAAAACGGACAGAACAAATAATTTAAAGATGATTCGTTTTAGCACTTAAAATGAACTCAATTCTAAAGTAATATGCATAAATCTGCTATGATTAGCATGATGAAATTCTCAGAATACTATTCATGGAATAAATAAGAGAAAGAAAAGACACTTAATCATTTAATGAAAATTGATCATTTGAAAATTGATTGATTTGCTAAAGAAAAGATACTTAATCATTTAATGAAAATTAATCATTTGAAAATTGATTAATTGACTAATTTTCATTAAAATGATTAATGAAAATTAATCATTCTTGATGCAAATCCATCTTAATGAAAAATATTTTGAAATAGCAAAAGAACAAATAAAATCATTCGAAATGCAATAAATGTTAAATTGAAAAGTAATTATTGTTCCTTTGAGTTATTATTGAAAGCTTTATTTATATGAAAAATAATTATACATTTATTACTGTATTATTTGCATTTTGAGAGTATTTGTTTTTTTTTTTCATTTTTGAAACAAATATAAGCATATGAATTGTATAGTGCTGATAACAATGATAGTATTTGTTTCTTTAATATTTCACTTAATATTTTTTAATATTTTGTTAAAAAAATGATTACCCTATTAGAATTTATATAATTAGAATTTTTAAATATTTCATTTGTAATATTCATGCTTTTATTCTTAATTTCAGATAATATTAGGAAAGATGATGTGAATTGTTTGTAAGATTAAACTCGACGCATTTTATACAACACTCATATTTGCATCATTAAATCATTTTTTCCATCATTATCATTAAATAGTATTTCCACCTTTAATTATTAATAAATTCATTGCATTTTGGTCATTTGTTAGTTTATTTATTATTAATCTTCTAAAAAGGACGAAGCAAATGTTGTTAGCCATGTAAAAATGATTTTTTCCTGAATAAAATCTTTCCAATTGGAAACTATTTGGTTTTTCCCTCTCATTAAATATTAATAATTAAAAAGACTGTTGCTTAATGATAACATATCTTCAATATATTTTACATGATAAATTTAAGAACAATATGTTCGTCCCAACACAAAAATTTTGAATTTCATTATACGTAAGAGATAGAAGAAAGATCAATGCCATCGCTTTTGAAAACAAAAAAATGTGAGATTTTCAAAGCAATTTTAGAGATTGAAATCTGTAATATTAAAAGCTCAATTTGTTCTCGTTAACGAAAAACAGTTGAATTAATAACGCCAATATGAAATCCAAGTTTTTTTTTTCTTCTTTTTCCTCTACTATGCTATTTTTTGAATTTAAAATTATTTAAAGTCAATAAATGTAATTATCATCGTTTTTATTGGGACGATTTAAAATTTTGTTAAGTAAAAAATGACGATGATAATTACATTTTTATAATTAGTAAAATCATGTAAGGTGATCGTATTGGACATTCAAGTTGGGCATAGTGGACATCAAAATTCTCTCAAGTTGGATATTTGGATATTATGATGCTCTCGAGTTGGATATTTGGACATTAAGATGCTCTCAAGTTGGGCATATTGGATATCAATGTTCTCTTGAGTAGGACATGTTTAAATATTAAGGTTTTCTCGAGTGGGGTCTATTGATAATTAAAGAAAATAGAGCAAATGGCAGCTATAGAGATCAAAAAATTCTTTAAAATTCAATCGTACAGAACATATGCAAGAGAAAATTTGCAAGTAAAATAATTTCTTGTTTAAACTGATACGTATATATATTGTCAGACATTAAAAAATGTGAACATAAATATAATAATTATATTCATGCTAATAAGGTGTTCACATTCTTGTTCACATCAAAAAAAGTTTCGAGAAATTTAGTTGTTAAAAAATATATTTTTAAACTTTTTAGTCCTTAAAATTTTCCACATGATTTTTAGTTGAAAATAATGAAATGATTTTTGAAAAAAATGGTCAAAATTTCCAATACAAGAAAGAATTTCAGCCATTTTTTTCTTGCTTTTTTGATTTATTCTTTTCAAAAATGTTGACTGAAAATCAAATTGATGTTGCCATTTCTGCGAATACAATCTTCCCTGTTTGCTTTAAACTTTAAATTTTATTGCTATCAATGCGTAAGCAACAGCTTTTTTCTCATTTCACATAACTACGAGCATTACAATAATCGTTTTTTTTTGGTGTTATATTTAAATATTGAATGATTGTAATAACCCTCCAAATGATTTCATTCTATTAACTGAGTTAAGCTAACGATTTGGAATTGTTCCGATACTGTACAAACAGTTTTAATTTTTAATCGTTTGTGCATGAAATTACAATTTCCCATTGTGGCGAGCAAACCATTTTACAGAATTGTGCAATTAAAATTCTTATGTAAAAAAATTAAAGTTCTGTGATTTTATTTGGCAATCGGTCGTATGGTACATTGGAATGAATAAAAACGGCTCTCTCCGCCGATGTAAAAGTTGTCACTTCATTGGGCAGTTAGCTATTTGCCAATATTTTTAATTTATAGATTTTGAAGAATATTTCTCATAAAATATATTTAATTTCAGATTTCCTCACTTCAAAAATGCCATTTTTCGGTGGAAAACTGCTTTCCAATCAATGTAATTCTTGTATTAATCATTCGATTACAATTATCCGTTGCACAAAGTAACGGTAAATAAATCATTCATTAATTTTTTCGATTAAGCTAATAAAAACAAAACGGCTTCTTCCTATGAAAGAAAAATTACCGTTTCCACATTGTTTATCGATTTTCCTCGTTACTTTCGAAGCAATCAATATTGCAATCACATTCTTTAACAAAAATCAAAGCACAAAACAAAAAGTTTATACATCGAATTTTTCGAATCACTTTTGATGACATTAATTTATCAATTTTGTCATTGCTTGCATACAATTATTTGTCAGTTAAATTATTACTGCACTTTATCAAACTATTCTTTAAGCTTACTAAAAGACGAAATGTTGCTAATTCAAAAATTCTATCCCATGAATATCTATACAAATTCTATTACGGTGTCTAGCAAAAAATTTCAGTAAAAATAATCAACAGATCATTCAGATCATAAATTTGATTATTTCGACTAAGAGAAAACCCAATCCAATTTTCAAGCAATCCAACAACCCAGAAAAGCGAAATTACAGCAAAATAGCAATGGTAACTGATAAAAGCGAAACAAGCAATAAACGGCTCAAAATACGAGGGACAACAAAGTGATCGTAGCAGTCGGCAAAGTTCTGAGGACAAACATGAAAACGAACCAAAATTTGAATGTAATGAATTCAACAAAGAATTCAAGCAAATGTATGGTCTGCAAAAACACAAAAAGAATGCGTAAAATGACATAAATGTGATTTATGTGGTGAAATATTGAATTGGTGGATGGATTTGTATGAACATAAAAAAAAAATACGTGAATGAACTGTCATTTAAACGTAATTAATGTGATATAAATGTAAAAGATCTGAATGACGTGAGGACATACTTTGTAAATAATCGTTTGAATGTGATTAGTGTGACCAAAAATTCATTCAAATTTCAAATTTAAAGGAACACAAAAAACATGAAAACCATATTTTACAGTTAGCTCTCGATATATTAGCAATGCAAATAATTTTGTTCGCAAGATTATAAATTATCATATTGTACAGGCTTAATTTATAATATATATTTTTGTTCATTTATTGTTTATTATTTCTTGTGTTTATTATTTCTTGTGTTTATTATTTCTTGTGTGAATGTTGAAAATTATTAATGGAAATTGGAAACATAAAAATTTTTGAATAATAACTAAGCAGGATGATATCCGGAAAGAACTATGGGAAATTTAAACTTGGCTTGGTTTTTCGTTCATGATACAACATTTTTTTGATGCTTTTGTTTTTTTTTTTTATATTTAGACATTAATGTTCTCTCGAGTTGAACATATTGAACATTAAGATTTTCTCGAGTTGAACATATTGGACATTAAGGTTCTCTTGAGTTGCAGTTACTACCCGTTCGGTATTAAATTTTGTATGTATGTGCCAATAATTGATTAGCTTAATAGAGTTCATTAGTTCAAGGTTTATTATCCATTATTGAGCGTTTATCTTTTGTTAATTTTACATTCATATCAGGTAGATTAGATTTTCATCGTTAAACGATTTGTTGATTTCCAATTAACTTCAATTGAAATACCGCTATCAATTGAGTATTTAATAATTCTTAAATCAAACAAATGAGACTTAATTATGCTAATTTAAATATATTTTCTATCAGTTCTAAAAATCTATGATGTAATTCCAATTCAAATTAGTTTTAAAAATCTCTCGCAGCTGATTTCATATTAGGCTAATGCCATAAAAAGAAAAAAATATTAACCATTTATTAATTTGTAAGAGTTTATTACGCAATTCGTTAAAAATCCCTGATGAATCATAAATATTTGTCACTTATCTGACCTCTTTTTCTTCATTTCTTTTTAAATTAAAAGTATGCAAAGAAAAAAAAAGTGACTCATTCACAAAAACAATCGAACAGTGAAGTAAATTTGGAATTCATTGAATAATTATAGAGAAAATGATGTTAAAATTATTGCTATGATTCATACTCTTTGCGCTTTTTATTTTATAACTCTCAAGAAAATGGCAAACTGATTGAGCTGGCAAAAATAGAATGATGTTTGATACATTTATTGAAATATCATATATTATCAATTTTCAAATGAATCAATGAAATGGAAAGAAAAAAAAAACAAGAAACTAGATGCATTCATCAAATATGCAAAAGACAAAAGAGCAATAAGTGAGATTAAAAACCATCAATTTCTCTTTCTTTTTTTTTTTTCAAATTTGAAAAAAAGACAACACCGTTTTATTATCATTATTTTTTGCACTGCTATCATTTTTTTTCTGACATATCAATCAGCAATTACTGATGAGCTTTAACTCATTGAATACATTCTCATTAAATCCGATAAATCATTTTTTTCTTGAATTTATCATTCAAAATTAAAAAATTAGTTCGAATCAAAATATGAAAAATTTCGCATAAATTCTGATGATAACACTTTTTTTTTTGTTTTATTATAATGCTAAAAAAAACCAATCAATTATATTGTAATAAATTTCTTAAATGTTTTACATCCATTTGTAAATCAATCGTTTTTGTTATATTTCTCAAAATTCCTTCCCTCCCATTTATTTTGAGTGTTAATTTTATAGTTCAATCATAATAATAGATTACAAGAATTGTTTTAACTAATTTCTGTGCAAATATTTGCGCTATGTTTTATACGTAACTTTCAATTCTTTTCTGCTCCAATTTTAAAGATTTTTCCTCTTTGCAATTTTCTTGCGATGATTTTTTTTTCTTGGAAATATTTTAATATGAAGCAAATATTAGTCTAAAATGGCTCAACTCAGAATATCTTTATTAGAAAAAGAAAGGAAAAAGTATCATTCTTAGTAGCCCTTATAAAGAAAGCGCTTTTTTATGAAAGATTCCCTCTCATATTACATTATCAGTGATATGATTGTGATCATCTGATTAATGGTCCATTAATTTAGTGTGATGCATACTGATAGGGCTGAAGTGGAAAATCAGGTGCTTAAAGATATTATAAAGGCACACCGTTTTAAAAATATATTACCATTTAATGAATGGAATAAGAAGACTTAAGTTTAAGGCTTCCAAGTTTTAATTAAATCTAATAATTACAATTTTGTTAACTTGAAACAAATTTCAAGGCAGTTTATTAAAAGAAGAGAGAGAGAGAGAGAAAAAAAAAAACCGGTTTTCATAGTTAGAATTATTACGTTAACATAATCAATTTTTACATGTTCAAAAAAAATTGCTAACCTATTAAAAATTATTTTTACTGCATGATTTAAAAAAGGCAACGAAAAAAAAAAGTTTTTTTTTCTAAAATGATGAAAAGCTTTTGTAACAAAAATAATATTGCTAAAGTATCACTTTTACAGTAAAAATTCAGTAATCTCTATTTAATTAAATGCCATTTTGCTGGAAGTAACAATAATACAAATAATGCTTTTTAAAATAGGAAGTAAAAAATATACTAATTTATTTCCTACTTTAAAATGACACAATAATATCCATGTAAATTTGAAAAAATGAAAAAATAAAACAAAAGGAGAAATCATATTAAAAAACCTATAATCAATGGCGGCCTTATGAGCAATAACAATGAAAAAAACAAGGTATACAAGGTATAAATGGAAATTCCTGAACAAATACTCCACCTTATCCCATTCCAATTGATACCAGAATTGACTGTTACTGTAGGTGTGATTACGGTAGTGGAAACAACAGTAATAGGTACGGTAACAGTAGTAGTAGTAGTAGTAGTTAAAATTTTTGTATTAAATTGCGAACGCCGCCGTGCTCGATGTTTTGTCCACCATTGTGAAGTATATCCAATTGGATCAGTGAAACTTTCCTGAATGGCACTATCTTGATGATGAGGTACAGCTTCAATTGAATCGGACGATCGCATGAAAATGCTAATAATACCAATTAAATAATTAAATAAGGAGATATTATTTAATTTGAAATTATTCAATGTCTCTCCTTTAATCGTTGAACTATCATCGATAGTTAAACTTTGACGTATTAAACGATGATGTCTTTCTACTTCATTCTTCATACTACCACAATGATGTCGCCTAATCAAACAATGTTGCGCAGATGGAAAAAAATCTTCC